TGTCAGTGACTGTTAAGGGCTTTAGAGTGAAAAATTATTCCAGCAAAATCCATGTGTGGAGCAACATGAAAGCATGCAGGCAGGCAGCAGGTAGATAAGCAAGTAGGCTACTCTGTGCAGCTCCATGCCGTCTTTCCAAGGGAAGAAAAAGCATTTCCAGTTCCATTGTGCACCCAGGACTGCCAGGCCAATCCCCTCTATTTCTGCCCAAGCAGCGACTGCCTGATTGCTCAGCACCAGGGAGGAGGTTTGGGAGCCAGCAGTGGGGTGCCAGCACCCTCAGAGGGAAGGAAGCAAGCCAGCAGCGCTTCGTGAAACCTCCCACAGTGCTCCTGCCCAAGAGAGCTTATTTAATTTAAAAAACAAACAAAGTATACTGGCAAGAGTGCTCATTTACAGATATGTTTTGCATCTCTCAGAGGCCCTGGAGGGAAGGGGGAGCACATTAGGATCCGTTTTCTCCCTAGGCAGGCATGGATTTATTGGAAATGAGAGATGGCAGCCTTCTCCCCTCCTTCACATTTGTGAGGTCTGGTGCAGCAGCACGTTCACTCTCACGTCAGATGCTGTGGTAGCATCTGTGCAGACATAATGCATCGGTCCAGTCAGGACTATGTCTGTTCTTCCATGTTCCAACTTGTTCTGCTAAAAACATCCAGTCTCCTTTTGCCCTGTGAACCTCCTTCGCTCTCATACATCCATATGAAGACACTGAGATTCCAGGAGGCACTTCCCAGTATGTGGGGTTGGGTTAGGTGCTGTCCTTTCCTCTGTATTAAGATCTAACACAACATAAAGTGGCGGTGTAAAGACAGCCAAAAGTTTTAAAGCAATAGAAATACATACCGTGCTACAGCTTTGAGCTTACATTGTAACTACCTTCACTTTCTGGTAGGAAAGACCTAAGGAAATAGGATAACTTCTGTATGAGGAAGGCTTCTCCCTGCTTTGAGATCCCACAGAAAATGGTAGGTTGGATGGGCTTTTGCATTCTGACAATTTTTGATCTGTCTGCCAGAATACCTGGTACCGAAGAATGGCACATCAGTGTAGCTCTGCTTGAAGGACAGAAGGGTTCTTGAGCTCAGAGTTGAATTGGCTTGATTGGAATGAATCGTTGCAGATCTTTATGAAATCCTTGGCATCAACACAAAAAAAAAAAGGTACATCATTCATAGCAGTCAGCTCTGGTTTACATTTTAAAAACTGCAGCTATGCTGAATAAAAGCAAATCTGTCACTTAATGCAAGGCGAATATCCATCACTGTTCTTAGCCAAAGAATTTCATTATACTCTTAATACCAGTAGTGGACTCATCCAAGTTAGGGAGCCAGGGTTGCTGGAATTCTTCACAGGTCTGCCGAGCGTGGCCTTGGAAGAGGAAAAGAGTGAAAGAGGTGAAAGACCTTCAACAAGTTCTCTGTACCTTAGTTTTCCCCAAGGGAAAACTGGAGATACTTCCCTGTTCGGAACGGGGGATTGCTTTTTATTCGGTACTTTATAAAACGTGGCTTTGTAACATGAGAAGTAAAAGCTCTTTAAGTTGCTTTGTTTTTATTTTCTAGCAGGGCAGAGTGGATTGATCAGCACTGGATATTGATTCAGTGCAAAAAAAGGAGTAAGATAGGAATACTGTGGAGACACGGTTATGTGAACCACGGAAACCTCCCCTGCTTTAAACTGGTTTGGTGAAATCTGTCCGAAAAGTCTGGACAAAAAGACATTTGGGGTTATCTCAGATCAATTAGGAACAGATTGAAGCTAAAGAAAATTAAACTCACTGTTCAAAGCAAGTGTGCAGGCAAGGCTGTAAGAAACCACATGGACACCATGCCGCAAGGCTTGTAAGGAGGCTTGGAGGGCTCAAGCCTCATCTTCACCTCTTCAGTTCTTAGCTTTGGTGGAGTTCTTTCTTCCTAAATCCAGAAAGAATACACCAACAACAATTGGGATCACCCGAGTCATTACTGAGGATTAAGGAGCAAAGAGTGTAAATCATTTCTTAATTAGAAGTTGAGGGGCAATGGGATGGGAGCATCATTAGGCAAACAAAGCAAAGCCCCAGTACAATAGGTGGCGAGTAGACTGTTAGTCTCTGCTAAGTACTTCTTCTTTATCTTGGACCGGGAAGAGCAGTTTAGGGGAGAAAAAAGGGATTTAGGATGAACATATCCCATCTACTACGTAAAGATGTGCTAAACTCAGTAGCAAGGCCCCTCAAATTAGTAAAGGGACAAAATTTACATAAAAAATACTCTGTGCTTTTTCCTTAGTCCCCACGAGTTGATCTGACTTTAATGCAGATGCTAATGGAGACCGAGGTAATCCCAGTTTACAATGGTGCTTGATGGAAGATGTTAAGCAAATGGTTCTTTGAAAAAACGTCTCTCCAGCCCTTGGAGTGCAGCAAATTGCTTACTTCTTGTTTTCTCCTAAAGTTTTGAAAAGAAATACTGAACCCTTGAAATATTTGACTTGGCTTCGTTGCCTCAAACATTAGTTTTAACTATTTAGAAAATAATGTGGTAAGGATCCAGAAAACCCAGTTGTTCTCAAAAATGCCTTGCTGATGAGTGTGTGCTCAGCTAATCCCTTTGCCTTTTTTTTTGTCTGTTTTTCGGCTGTGGAACACAGAGGAAGGTGGGCTGGCTCCAAACACTGCTCATCCTCGCTGGAGAGCAATTACAGAATCATGGAATCATAGAATGGTTTGAGTTGGAAGGGACCTCAAAGATCATCCAGTTCCAACCCCCCTGCCATGGGCAGGGACACCCTCCACTACACCAGGTTGCCCAAAAATTAAGGCAGCACGCACAACACCGCTTAGCTTTTCTGTTCCTCACTTCTGATCAACTTTTTTCCCTTTTAATTCTTTAAGGTTACACGTGAACCTCTTGACCTTTTTCTGGTCGATGGCATCAGGAAGGCAGTTTCTCTGGTTTCTTATTTAATTTAAAACCTTATCCTGCAGCTGCCTCCTGGAGAGCTTTCCAGTTTTGCTGAAGGTGACCAGAACCACAGATTGGGGCTTAGGTGCACTGCCGGCCAGCTCACACATCCCTTTACCTTTCTAGTTCAGAAAAACTATAGTAGAGAATAATCACATTTTAGTAAAGGAGAGACTAGCTGATAAAACCACCTCTTCTCCATTTCTCATGCCCGAGTCTGCTGGGCACGAAATGTGTCTTCCTAACAGCATGTGTGACACGAGTCGCTCTGTATTTCCCAGAACAAAGAGCATCGGGAAGGATTTTGTTCATTTGTCTCTGAACCCCCACTTTTTGTCATGATGTACCATCAAAACCGGACATTTAACCCGATAAACTACTCTCTTCAGCTACACGTTTTCCTAAGCCAACTGCAAGCAAGTTACTTTATAAAAAAAAAAAAAGCCATTTTTCCACTGGCTGGAACAAGGACAACGCTTTGTTCAAGCTAGTATATTTCTGGAAGCCTTAACTTATTATTTTTCAGTATTAAAACAATTGTGCAACACGAGTCTCTGTATTTTGGGGAAGCTTTTATTTTTAGGGCATTCCGTTTTCATGTTTATATTCTTACTCCAGTTTTAAGAGGAACTGGTCGAGTAAACATAAGTGACAGCCCCGGGTCAGCTAAGTTCTGTGAAATTTCTGATTCTCACCCATGAAAGAGTCAGGAAATTATCCAAATGTATCACCTTGCCCCTGCAAACTGGGGCACTCGGGTATGTATGTGCTTGGTATGAGCATTGCTGTAGGACATACTGCTCACCAGGATTAGGATGTAACACTGGGAAGGAAAATACACATAAAGTAGTGTAAGGTCATACGTTTGTTTACAAAGTATGTTGGTCCCATTGACTTACAAGAGAAGTCTCCAAGCATCTTTATCTTGGTTTTCTGTTTGGTCAGCAGGACTGACACAGGAAAGGCTTTACCATTTACTTCTCATACATATAAGATTTTTAAGCCTTGGCCCCTGCTCCTGCTGCTAACACCTGTGGAGTCCTTTTAACATGCCTTCCCAGTATAATCACTCGGGTTTCTGTGCTGTGAGGAGGTGTTAAAACACTCCAGCAGCGAGCAGCATATTTGGACAACTTCTTCCCATCAGTGTCCTGCTGTGAAGGGGATGGCTGCAGTCAGGCAGCATGCATCTTAACAAGGAGTCAAAGCAGGCAAGCTTTTCCAGCATATTCTCACAAAACTGATTGGAGTCTTACTTCGTTCTCGCCTTACCCTGTAATTGTTCATCCATTTGAAGTGTCCAGTAATGTAAAGAAAGAAAAAAGACCATCAAGCCGCTGGAAGACAGGAAGCAACATATAAGTTGTTTTATTACCTTCCACTAGGATCTGTACTAAACATACATTTTACTGAAATTAGGGCTAGAAGTTGCTCCTTTAGCAGCACCACTTGACTGATAGTTCACTAGGGGCAGGTGAGCCACAGGCAGTGTTTTACCATCGTGCATCAGTTTGCTGATGGAAGTGTGTAGATTAAGTACGGTCTTCTTGTGCTTTTGAGTGTCCACAGTTAGTAATTCCAGTAAGGCACCTCCCTGTCCTAAGTTGCTGAGAAGCAACACAGCTACAGAGATTGAAACCAAGTCCTCTGACATGTCCCCTACAGCATGGTGTGGCAGCTTGAAACGACCAGGGAAGGGTGAAACTCACTTCTACAGTTTCAGTCATTCCTTGAAGACGGGCCTCAGAATCTTGCCTTTTTCAGTAGCATTAAAATAATACAAGTTAAAAACCCAAGAACCTAAAAGCGGTTCTAAAGCAGCATCTTCAGAGCTGTGAAAAGCCAAAATCGATGCACTTCCTAATAGTGTCAAACACTTCAAAGTCCTCGTTTCAGTCCAAAAGAACTTATTATAATAGTGAAGTAGCATCCAGGTATCGATGCACTTCCTAATAGTGTCAAACACTTGAAAGTCCTCGTTTCAGTATGAAAGAACTTATTATAATAGTGAAGTAGCACCCGGGCCAGGCTGTATGCTGAGGTGTCATCTTCTCAGACATGAACTCCTGCATACATCATTTGGCCCCCCTGTGTTACCCCAAGAGGGGGTGCTTTAGCACTGTGTCCATAAATCATTCTTTTAAGGAATGCTGCTGGAGCCATTACTGCAGTGTGCTCAGTTGGTATCCTGGGGTTGGCACGTGAAGGGTGCAAGAGTTGTCCACTGGTAGGTGGAGGACTTAAGAACCGCACATCTTCAGCCAACCCAATAGCAGGAAGGGATGGAGCTAGAGTCATGCACATGTTGCTGGTCTGAGGCCCACTACTCAGTGAGCTTCTGGTGGCAGAACTGGACCTGGAGAGGCGAGACGGAAGAGGGGGTTCTAGTAGCCAAGTCTGGCCAGGTGCAAGTCCCCTTGGCTGCTCCTCATCTTGGGATTTTAAGCATTTGCAGCAGCAAATTCCAACACAGGCACCGCCAACAACAAACGCCACAAATACGGATCCAACAAGAAGGAACGGCAGGTACATGGGCACTGAAATGGAAGAGCGACGTTAGCCAACCATCAGCCATGGGGTACTTAGGTCATGCTCTGCTCTTCATTCCTTGAGACACACGTGCACCAGGCCAGGCCAGGGCAGTTCTATTCTCACCACTTCTCTTGCTGCAGCAGGGTTAGAAACTGGCCATTGCTGTGGCAGGCTCCTTGGAAAAAGCCTGAAGCACAGAGGGTCGGGCCAGTCAGTCCTGTAGCATCTGCCATTTCCACCCATGCAGGAGCTGTTGGGTACTTACATGTCACAGCTGCCATTCACTTGTGCCCGAGTACAGATTCGGACTGGTAACTCAGCTTTACAGTTAGTACCCACCTGCTGCTGGGTCACCTATGGAATCTGGCTCCGAGGGCTATAAGCATTTTTACAAGCCAGAACTGAAGTTAATACATTCCTTGGAGGCATCCACCTGCATTAACGGAACACGTTAGCGACACGCGTGTTCCACCAGGGATATAAACATCAGAGGTGTTACCAGAGGCTTTGTTAGTAGCTTAGAGGCTCTAAGAGTAGGACAGTAGGGCTGACAGAAAAGTCTTTTGAGTGAAGCCCCAAGTTATTCCCTCTTCCCAGTGAAGGGAGCTGAGTGGCAGTGTGCCAGGGCTCCGCACCTTTCCGCTGCCATGGCTGTGCCTCGGAGCTCCGAAGGGCAGAGAATCACACAATCACAGAATCACGGAAAGTCAGGGATTGGAAGGGACCTCAAAGGATCATCTAGCCCAATCCCCCTGCCGGAGCAGGACCACCTAGATCAGATCACAGAGAAACAGGGGAAAGGTCTGGCTGATGCCACCAAGGGCAGGTTGCTAAAGGGGATGCAAGGAGAAAGCATAGCTGATGTGCCCACCCCACCCCACGGGCTAGAGGCAGGGGAAGCTTACCTGGCACTGGAGGCCTCGGGCTGGGCGGCTGGTCCCCAGGGCACCGGCCCTGGTCCAGGCGGGCATCCCTGGCCGAGCAGCAGTAGCGCAAGCTGCAGGTCCCGCAGCACAGAGTGGCCTCGGGGCCATCGTAGCGCTCGGGGCCCTGGAAGGCGCGTGGC